GCCTTGCCTTCCCCCTGCTCACATCCCAACACTCCCACAAAGTATTAGAAAAAAGACAGCAGTTCTTACAACGTGGCCACACAAATGTTAGTACTGTTGTGTTGGGGAATGTGCAAAGACGTGGCCCAGGGAACAGGCAGATTTTCCCTTTTCAGTATATTAAAGTTACAGTGGAATTACTGCTTTAGAGAAAAGAAGTAGAAGGAGGGTGTATGAATGGTAACAGGAGAAACGTACATCTTCAATAAACATAAATATGGGATAATGCCACTAATCATTATCAATAAAAATACAACTGACTACCTAAATCCAAAATTATTGCACAAGGTTTCCAATTTTCTACTGAACTGTCACGCTAGTGATTCCATACTGGCTTCTGGACATTTCTGAAGAGGAAGCATGGCCTGTCTGTCATCTCACGGGTCAGTAAAGAGTCTGGAGACACAGGGACAGAAGAGGCTCTGATGGATTTTCAAAAAGGTACTTGAGGATAGAAGCTTCATTGGCTTTACTTCATTGAAATAAGTAACAGTGGTAAATTTAGCTCTAGCACCAATGGACAAAATTTTAAAAGCCAGCTCATGGACTACAACTCCCCAAAATCTACATCCTCCAGTTTCAAAAGTCTATTTTAGCTATATGAAATTCACCTACCACAATCAAAATTACAGTTTTGCAAGAAGCAGTAAATTTTCACAAAAAGACGTTTTTTAAGATTTTTAATTTAATCCTCTACAGATGAGATTGTTTCAGTATTTCACACTGTCAATGTAAATGAAGAAGAACATCAGGTACTTGGTGAAAAGGAGAGGAAATAATGAAATATTATTATACTACACACAGATATACACGGAGAAAAAATATTCCCAAAAACCCATGGTTGGAGTCTTTGCCAATATTAATGAACTGACCAGAAAGGGAATAGTGAGTATCACTCAAGTGGATTTCATGAAGGCAGGTTTGATTTACAGAATGAGTCGGTGAGGTAGTGGAAAATGATTAAAACACGTGAAAGATTGGCAAAGGGTCAGGAGTACCAGCATAAGATCATAAGTTTTTAATTTATCTAGAGATCTGGACTGAACTATATAGTCTGACATACAACTAAACGCTATTCTGTCAAAAGAAGAGTCTTATAAAACAGGAGATAAAAATGCCCTTTAAAAGAGACTGTTTGAAATGAAATTTTTCATTTCTTCTCCCTACCTTTGCTAGGCCAAGAAAGGTCCTTTTGCTATTCCTGTAGAGGGAAGCTGAAATTATTGAATTGATTTGGATACAAATTTGTGTTAGATATGACTTTCATACTATGGTAACCTTTGAGCAAAGTGTGTTTGACTGATGTGGACATCAATGCTATTTTATTTTCTTTCCATCTTTAAGCGAAAATGAGCTTATTTGGACAATAACAGTAATACAGAAAAGTCTAATGTGACTACAATTAACTTTGCATGGTTATTAATGTACAAAATACCTTAAAAAGGAAGGGAAGTAGTTCCCCAAATCTATCCAATACTTGGATATACTAGAGGATGTACTAGAGGAAACTACTAGGATTTTTATTTTTTTTCTCCAGTGAATGCCCTGATCAGTTCATTGCTCTTACACATCTTTTAATAGGTTTTTTCTAATTATTTAATATTCCTTGGGCATCTTATATAGTCACTGCCTTACAAAGAGGGCTCTTCCTTTTAAATACCTGATCTTGCAATTTTCTTATTAACTTGCTAGGAAGACAAGTGGTTTGCACAGAGGAGGCCACTAAGCTGAAGTCTTGAGGACTGAAATTTAGACCAACCGTACTTAAAAATCCTCTTTTAACAGCTTCAACATAAAAAACCCCAGCATTGCATTAATGAAAGCAAAATCATCGACATGCAGAAATTTCAGAGTATTAAAAAAATAATCTCGAGAGCTAGAGTAACAAGTGAAACCATTCCAATTACAAGGTCAAATGCCTAAGAAGTAGGAACAAGAATTTCTGTTGCATGCTGAAATTGTAAGGGAAAAGAAAAACATGTCACTATTTGATTAGCAAATGAACTGAGAGTCATCAGCATGTTGTAGCTACAAAGACTGTGATTAATCAGGAGAGGCATTTCCAATATACATATAGAAGATTGCATGCCACAGAAAAAGTCGTTGTTAAGACCTCCTGTAAAAAATAGCATATATAGTTCTGACTACTCATATTTGCAGGAATTAACTTCCCTGAACAGAGGCAGAAAAAGGCTACGATGTCGGTCAGGAAACAGAAGCCGTATCATACTAAAAGAGACTATAAAACGTTGGCTGGCTTAGTTTTCCAAAATGAAGACAGGATTGGGAAGATGTAAGATGGTACATCAGATGGTGAACATCACAAGGGAGAAGAATTATCAAAGTTGAAGGACAGCATTGGTGAAACAACAAAAGTAGAACTTGCTATGAATACATTCAGGCTGAAAAGAGCGTGGTTCCAGCCCTTCAAAGGGGTGAGCTTCTGAAACAGTGACCTCGTACGAATAGTGAGGATGACAGGTTTAAGATGGATCTTGATAAATTAATGAATGAGATTACATAACGTTGTTATCAGTTATAGAAAAGAATTGAATTTGACACACGAGATAGCTTCCTGTCCCATGTTCCTGTCATTTTTCCCAATTCCTCTGCAGCTAGGGTGCCAAGAAGCCTGCAGACAGAAAGCTGGCAGGAGTCTGGGGATATAACCGCCCATATTGGTGCTCTCTTGGAAAGAAGCGCTCTGTACACAGGGTTCCACCAAGGCCACCCAGACCAGGCAGCAAAGGCCTCCTCCACACATTCTGCCTGCCTGTGTCCAGCCTGGTCGCAGAGAGCCAGCGCAGAGCAGCAGCTCAGACCCCACACGTGTCCATCAGCCTCTGCTAGCTGTGGTGACAGCAGCACAGTGCCACATTTTTGGATACAGGCACTGCTTAATGAACACTCTTGGCCATTAGCAATTAACCTGCCTGGATTTTAGTTGATGACTTGAAGATGACACTGGACTGGGAATTTCGTCATTTTCCTATGTCTTTTCTATTTCTTACTATCCTGTTTCAGGGATGCAGTGACCCAAAACAAATCTCAAGTGAAGGCGTACATACCATTTATCTGCAAGACACCGCACACACATTTCCACAGCATTTTCTGTTACATCCTGTTGACCTTTACAATGGTTTGTTACTGTTCCTTTATGCTACTCCCTGCAGGGATAAAGTTTCTTCTGAGCCATCCATAGCACTTCATAGACTATTTCTTCTTGCAGGGCTGAAACTAGTAGAAAACCTACCTGTGGGTATTCTGCTATTCTTTTACATGAATATCACATTTGTAATTGATTAAAAATTTAAATCACATTCCTGGTGCTACCGTGAAGTTGCACTTCAGATCCAATAATTTATTATGAAGATGAGAAAAATCAACATATTTGGAATGATAAGATTGTCCCAAAAAATAAAAACGAAGCAGAAACTGGCATTCTTGGTTTTCAGTATACATGCTGCTATTACATATCAGACTCTTATAACCACAGAGCAGTATGTATTATAATACACAGACTTATCAAGGTGATAGTTATATTCCATAGGATAGACTATCAGGCAGCACAAACACACAGAGCTCCACTCCTCAGAAGCCATTCTAACACTCCGGTATGTCCTAACCAACCAGATGCTTTACACCTTTTAAGCAGCAGATTAAACATGCCAGCAAAACCCATCTTGCAGTTTTGGTGACCTCACTTAAAATGAAGTCTTACAGAGAATTAAAATGCTTATACATCCATCTCGGAATGATGTAAGAGTATTGCTGCTAGAGGCCATGTCCTCTGAGGTACTGAGCACTGCCTGAGGTGTCCAAGAGTTCTCCTCTTTTATCTGGGTATACGAATATTCCATGTTATGCCAAGGTCAAAAGCCAGGATTGAAGTGTTAACCTGGTTTACATTTTAATACTTAAATGCACCGCATCTGATCTGGTTCTTCTCTCCCTGAGTTACAAAATCCACTACTTCCTTGCAAAAGTGTGGCTGAGGCTACCCTGAAGACCCTTGTCCTTATGGTACAAATTTTCTTCTTCTCCCTGCTGTGCATATTTACCCTGAGACAACATCTAGCTCAACCTCATCTGCCACTCCATGAGCTGTCAAGTGACTATTCAAGCGTTTAAAAAAATGAAGGGTCTGTTAAGCTGTAAATTAAATGACAGTCTATAGCTGAAAATTAGCAGTAATGTGCCCAAAACTTTATTGATTGCTAAGAAAAGGTGAATAACCCACACTACGGATGGCTGTGTAATTACTGACCTTTAGAACCCTAGCGCTATTAATTTAAGACCGGATAGCAGTGAACCAGCAAAGGAGTTATTCTGCAGCAGGACAGTAAAGGCACATATCAAGTTTTTGCACGCGTTTGGTGCCACCTTGAACAGTAGTCAGACGCCTATATTTTCCATTTTAATGCAGAATATAACCCAAGCTACATCCGAGCATAAAATGCCTGTCAACTAGTTCAGAAGATTTTAAGAACTCCACATCTTTCCACAAAGGTTTCCACATTACTGTTAAAGGCAGGAAAGTTGTATTGCTGAGCTCAGCCACTCTGATACATGTACTGCAAACACTTCATCTGTACTCCGAGATGGAGATGGCCAGTAACAGGAGAACAGCAGACAGTAAGCAGACATCAGTAAAATTCCTTTGCATATGGGACACACACACAAAATCCCCCACCTCTGTTAACACTGCTGCATTTAAGCCTTTAGAGACTTTTGCACAATCCATGGAAACTGTAGTTTAAAGACTATTAACACATGCTTCAGCAACATTTAACTTTTTTCTTTTCTTCTTAATGATAAGCACTTACTGGGATGGAGAAATAGTTGCCTTTTGACAAAGGAAACTACATTTTGAGAGCACTGGTAAGGTGGTGGAGTTTGCAGTAAGAAAATTTTAAAAATATATCTTAACTGGAAGTAATGAAAGAAAAAGGTTATCTGACCTGGTGCAGATGTCCTTCCATGAAGGGAAGCTTCATTAGGCAGGAGATCTTTTGACTTGGAAGTGAACGGTGATTGTCTAAATGTGTCTTCAGAAAAGAAAGGGCTGTAGGAAAAATAACATGGCTTTTTGTAAACAAAATAGCAGTTAAAAGAAGAAGTAAATATGAATTTTTGACCATAACATCTTAATGTTATAACAAATACCATCTTGTTAAAAGCCCTGCTTCATTTACAGAATCCATGCTGGAAGATACGCAGACTGTCAGGCCAGGTGTGGAGAACAGGTATGTTTTGCTACAATTGCATCTCAGAGTGAAAAGTGAAGTCCTCCCAAAAGGCTTTTAACTACATTTCGACATCCCAGATTTGCTATATCACAATACAATATGGACCAATAAAATTAATGCTTCAAAAAATTGTATTCTGCTGTCATACCTGGAGAGGGCAACCAGGATAGGAGGTGAATATTATTACTTAATAATCTGAGGTATATAGTAATTATTTTTAAAACAAAACTTTTCAAATTTTAGGATAAGATGCTGAATAGTTCTCTTTTGACATGGCATTCCACAAATGAAATTAACTCCATGAGTTTGATTTTTAAAGCAAGAAAAAATCCATATAAGCTAACTGAATGGTTATTTCCCAAAGAGTATTGAGTGCAAAAATTATCAAAAAGCATAGCATGCTTTGGTTTTCATTAACAGGTAGTAAAAAGTCAATTACAATAGTGAATTGACATTTCTGTTAAAGTATTTTGTTTTCTGCTCAATTAAAAGATTGTAACAGAAACAAGAATTCCTTATCTATGGTACAGACAGACAGCAGAAAGAGGTACCTCACTCAGAAAATTCAAAATGGAAAAAGGATAGTCTTCCTTGGAAAACTGTTTTCTAAGGCAGTATATTCCATCTGCATGCAAATAATCAATTTCTTCTAAGCAAAATAAAGAATTACATTAAACCTGATCTCTCTCATACTGAGAATCCTGAACAGGCTGGTGTACAGTATGTGTTTTAAATGTGCAGGACAGGAGGCCAGCTCATTTCTGCAGCCTGTTTTTATTCAGTAATAAAATCCAATGATCTTTTCAGGATGAGGAACATTAGTATGAGGTCTTACGAAGCTTTGCCAAGGGGGTATCCAGCCTCAGAGAGCATGTGCCAGCAGCACCAACCAAGCTGACCCTAGCAGTCCATATACACAAGGTGTCAATCTAAACAACAGCATTTGCAAAAATTTTCCATCATACAGCCTTTCTGGAGTGAGTGAACAAGGCGTTCTCCACTGAGTCACTTGTATTCTTAGTCAGATCTCTTCTGCCTTTGGGAAACGTTGATCATTAGCTAACTTCATCATGGAACACTTTTGGCAACCACGTTGTTTACTTTCTCATGAAGTTTTTTGGTCATTATTCATTTTGTGCTGTACCAGATGTGACAGCCAATGAGATATTTTGGTGTTTCTACAAAAGTTTGAACATAACCATAAACAGTCAACATTAGGCTGTGCTGGAGGGTAAGGCATGAAGCTGCCCCAAACCTGAACACTTCAGTGCATCCAGACAGCTAAACAACACATAATACTCAAGAAAACAAATGTTCATGTGTCCTGGGTCCAGCTGGGATAG